TGGCACCGCAATGCCGTCACAGCCTCTCACAGGAGCCCATCCATGCTGCACCCTCTGCTGTCCCACTCCCCGCTCCAGTGTGAGCTGCCCTTTGCCCATGGATACATCCGGATTCGAGGCCAGAGCGAGCTCACAGCTGCAGTTTAAGGATCACTCTCAGTGGGGATTTGAGCCACGGGGATAACCCGCAGCAGTGGCCACAAAAAGGGCTTGGTCAGTGCTGTCATACCTGCAAGGGACGCTTCAGGCATGGACAAAGTGCCACCTTTCCCTGCTGTGAGCTGGGCTCCATCACTCCGTTTCCATGGGCAGGCAGCCCAGGCCCACTGCAGGGCTGGGACGTGGCCAGCAAGGAATGCACTGGCCCAGAACTGGGTTTGTGTCCTGTGCTCTTCCTGCTCACTGAGAGGAATGGATGTGTAAGAGAAAAGTGCTGCTTACCCCACTAGAAAATCACAGGGACAAAGGTTTCCAGACCCCATGAGCACCCATGTCACACACAGACCTACAAATCCTCTGCTCCAAGCCAGAGCAGAGATTCCCCACCTCTGTCTCATCCTTGCCAGATGCTCCAGCACTGCCCCCTTTGGTTTTCCCAAGCTCCTGGCTGGAAGCGGGCAAGGCAGGTGTGGTAGACCACTACAGGCTAGGCATTTTCCAAAAATATTCCTGGGCTTTGGGGTTCCTCCCCACCAAAGTGTGGCCCAAGACCACCCTCCCCCAGGTGAGATCCAGCCCCAGGTCACCCAAACACACCAGTTCAGAAATCTGCAATACTTTAATCAAACCCTACTTAAGGCCATTGTTACTTCCATGATTGCACATATTCCTGCTTCTCAAAAGCACAAATATCTTCATTAACACAACAGGACAGGGCCAAGCCTCCCCCTCCCTGTGGCCAGCCAGGGTGACCAGTGCCCCCAGTGCCTCCCAGTGCCCCCGGCCAGAGGAGCTGATCACAGATGGCTGAGCAGGCAGCAGGGAGAGTGCCAGGAGCTGAGTGACAGCTCAGATGCACCCTGAGCTCCTGCCAAGGCTCATCTCACACAGGCACCGGAGCCAGGAGAGATGAAGCAGCAGGGCTGAGAGCTGGGGTGGCTGTGGAGCACAAGGCCATGGCACAGAACTGGGGCTCCCAAAGGCACCACTGCTCCCCAACACAGGCAGAGGCTGCAGCAACCCCAGGCAGGCTCCAGGTACTGTGGGAAGAGACATCGCTGCAGTGACAGCCCCCAGAAATGATGTGCAGCACAGCCCAGTGACATCAAGCGGCAATAAAACTGTGAGTGGCTCCAGGACAGCGTGCCCCATTTGGGGAGATGAACAGTGGCTTTTAAAAAGATCACTAAATCCCATCAGTGCTACCTATACAAACCTCATTTATTTTAAAGGCTGCCATTAAAGTGCCTGTTATCCCTAGCAGTAGGCAGTTTTAAATTGCAAATAACTTCTCAGATCAGTCAGCAACAATCTTCATTCCTTCATTCCACCGGAGAGAAGGGCAGTGGCTCAGGCTGGCCCTTGGGGACAAAAGGGTTCTTGAACACTGTGTTGAGGTTTCTGGATGAGCAGGAATGCTGAGCAGCAGGACCATCCCATGCTTTTGCTGTGCTGTGCAGGATCTCTGCCGAGCTGCCCAGGATTTCACCTTCCAGAGGGCTCTGGGGATCTGAAGCGGTGTCACCTGCAGTGTGGTCATGTCCCAGTGGAGAGCTGTCCCACCAGGAGCTGTGTCAGTGGGAAGGTGTCCCAGTGGGAGCTGTCCCAGTGGGATCAGTGTCCCAATGGGAAGGTGTCCCAGTGAGAAGTGTGTCCCAGTAGGATCCATGTCCCACCAGGAGCTGTCCCAGTGGAATCCATGTCCCAGTGGGATCCCAGGTCCCAGGCATGAGCCACCCCTGCCTCAGCTCCATGCTCCGAGGCTGTCGCTGTCCCAGCAGGAGTTGTCCCAGTGGAGAGCTGTCCCAGTGGGATCCAGGTCCCATTGGGGAGCTGTCCCTCCAGGAGCTGTCCCAGGGGTGGCTCATGCCTCAGCTCCATGCTCCGAGGCTGTCGCTGTCCCAGCAGGAAGGTGTCCCAGTGGGATCCGTGTCCCGGGCTGGTTCATGCCGGGGCTCCGTGCTGCCCGGGGCTGTCGCTGTCGTGCAGGAGCTGTCCCAGCAGCAGGAAGCCGTCCCGGGCTGGTTCAGCTCCGTGCTGCCTGGGGCTGTCGCTGTCCTGCAGGAGCTGTCCCAGCAGCAGGAAGGTGTCCCGGGCTGGTTCAGCTCCGTGCTGCCCGGGGCTGTCCCGGCTCATGCCTGGGCTCCGTGCTGCCCGGGGCTGTCCCGGCTCATGCCTGGGCTCCGTGCTGCCCGGGGCTGTCGCTGTCCTGCAGCAGCGGGGTGGTCTCAGAGGAGGGGGTGGCTCTGGCGGGGGCTCGGGGGCTCTTCTGGGCAGCTCCTCTCTGCAGGGGAGGGACAGAGGTCACAGCCTGGCCACACACAGCGGTGCCACACGTCCCCACCCAGGCCGTGCGCACCCCAAACCTCCCGCAGTGGCCAAGGACCCCCATTTCTTCAATGGAACATTTCTGTACCCCCTTTCTGTACCTCTCACCTTACCCAAACCAGATTATTTCCATCCCCGTCCACCTGCAACACCACCCAAGCACCCGGCCTGAAGAGCCGTGGGACAGTCATCCAGATGGAAGGGACAGGGACACACTGCTGAGGGACACAAGAGCCTGGAGAGCCCCGGGCAGGAGCTGCAGCACACACAGGCAGCCTCCTCCCCAGGATAATGCAGGTGCAGCCTCTGGGGAAGGGGGAAGGTGGTGCCTTCCGGCACCAGGATGGCTCCTCCTCACCCAAACACAGCTACAGAACAGGTTCACCACCCTCAGGGCTGAGCAGGAGCCAGATACACCCTCCAACAGACCACGTGAGCCCTGACCCTAAATCCCATGGGCCCTGACCCTAATTAATGCAAGAACCTCAGGAGGAAGCAGCAGGTGATAGGACTGGGTCACTTCCTGCTGCTGGGGACAGGGACACCAACCTGGCCCTCACCCAGAGCCTTCTGCTGGCTGGGGACATGGATTGGGGTGTTGTGGAGGGACTGTGAGGCTTCTCTAACCCTCTGACCATTGCTGCTCCACCAGTGACACCACCAGGCACACCTGGAGACTCTTTGGGCTGAAGCTTGGATTTGAGGATCTTGGAGGAATTTTCAACCTTATTGAGTCTAAAAGTGTCTACAGACCTCTGCTGAGGGGATGCAGTCAGGGCAGAATGGATGGTTAATATTCAAGAGTCACCTCCTCCAAGCTGAAGAACACTCCACCCTAACGAGGATCCTGAGCCAGGGAAAAATGCCAGCAGGGCAGCATGGATGAACCAGGCGCTCCAAACACAAATGCAGAAAGGAGGCACGTGGAAGGTGGGAGCAGGGACACAAAACCTGGCAGGAACACAGGGAAACTCTCCCAGCATGCAGGGATGAAGAGAGGAAAGCCAAAACCCAACTGGAACTGAGTCCGGCCAAGGATGTCAGACAAGAAAGGCCTCTCTGAATACCCAGGTGACCAAGGAAAGAGGAGGAACCACGAGGGCCTGAATGAGGCAGGGGACCCCAGAAACAGGGGGAAAGTTCCAGAGCAAGGAATTTGCACCCTTGGTGGAAGAGGATGAGGTCAGAGAACATGAAGGAACCAAGACATGCACAAATCCACAGACCAAGATGGGATGAGTGGGCTCATGTCACAGCAAGGCCATTCCCCGCTGTCTTTGACCAGTCCTGGCTCAAAGACTGAATGAAAGCAGATCTTGAAAAGGATCAAGAAGGATCTCAGGAGCTACAGAGCAGCCAGCCTCCCCTCATCCTCCAGAAAGTGATGCAGCAGGTAATTCCAGGAACCACTCCCAGCACATGAAGGACAATTAAACCGTCAAGTGCACAAGGGGCAGCTGTGCTTGATCACCTGTGATGGAATGAGTGGCTTGGCAGACCAGGGGAGAACAGGGGTGTTGTCTACCTGCACTCCAGGCTTTGGGCACCATCTGCCATCAAAACCTTCCAGGGAAGCTGATGAGGTTGGGATTGTTTGAGCAGGCAGTGAGGGGGACTGAGAACTGGCCAAACATCCAGGCCCAGAGCTGAGTTGGAGGCCAGCAACCATCAGTGTACACCAGGGGTCAATCTGGGTCCAGGCCTGTTGAACATCTTTATTAACGATCTGCAAAACCTGGGGGAGTGGCTGGTACAGCAGGCTGAGAAAGGGCCTGGAAGGAGCCTCACGAAGTCCAACAAGAGGATGTACAAGGATTTCACTTGGGATGAACAGCCCCACACTGTTCAGCACACCCTAAAGGTCACCAGCTCTGCAGCAGCCTGGCAGAAAAGGACCTGAGGGCCTTGGGGACAGCGAGCTGGGGGTGAGCTGGGTGGCAAAGGCAGCCAGCTGAGTCCTGGGCTGCTCTGGGAGTGTTGCCAGCAGCTCCTGGAGTGGTCCTCGCCCTCTGCTCATCACGGGAGGGGCCACACACGGAGCACTGTGTGCAGCTCTGGGCTTCCCAGCACAAGAGAGAGATGGAGCTGCTGGGAAGAGCCCAGCAAAGGAGCACTGGAGTGATTTTGGGACTGGAGACTGATGTGAGCAGAGGCTGAGAGAACTGGGCCTGTCCAGCCTCCAGAAGAGAAGGCTCAGGAGATCTCAGCACTGGAAACAAGGTTCTGAAGGGAGGGTGTGATTACAGAGCCAGGCTCTTCTTGGTGGTGTCCAGGACAAGAGCAAAGGGACACCTAAAGGGGATTCCATCTGCACATTAAGAAATACTTTTTTTTCCTTTTTGTTTTTCCTGTGAAAACTGTAAAAACGAGAACAGCTGCCCTGGGGAATCTCCACTCCTGAAGACCTTAAGAGACATCTGGAGTTGGTGCTGAGCTAGGTGACTCTGCCTGAGCACAGGGATTGGGGATGACCTCCAGAGGCCCCTTCAACCTCAACGACTCAGTGACTTTGTGTTCCTGTAATACAAACCCAGATATTTTATACATCAGAAATTCCCTCCTCTGGTCAGGGGAGGGGTGACACCACCAGTGGACTGATCTCTGTTACCCCATTCAAATAAACTTACCTCTGGAGCTCAAATATTCAGAGATGGGGGAAAACAGGCAGGAAAAGTATTTCCTCACACCAGTCCTACTTTCCCCTGATCCCTGCTGACATTACTAGGGCTGCAGATCAGGTACACCAGGAGAAACAATAAGAGCATGTGCTTGCAACCTGGTTAAACGCCAGTATTAAAGCATCTAAATTGCCCCAAATAAAGCCATGAGACAACATTGCTCCATCAAAGCTCGCCAGGAGGGCATGGCTGGGAGATGTGGACAGCAAAAGGTTCCATTTGATTGGTTTGGAGTGAAGTTTAATCAAATCAGGAGAGAAAAGCGTGTTACCTTGACTGGGTACCCACCTACAGTCTGGCTTCCTGCAACACCGTCCCCTTAACTGGAGGCAGCTTTGTGGCAGAGGTGGCCTGGTTTGCCTTATTACTGTCTGAGCTCTTTTTATTGCTACTCCAAAATAAAGAGCATTTTTCCTAGAAGACAATCAGTCTGGTTTATGATGCACTCAGACATGAGTTTCATCAGGGTTCCAATTTTCGGAGGAGATTTGAGAAATCACTGTTCAACTAGAATCTAGTTATTAATGAAGATTTTGAAATTTAGATTAAGCTAAGTCCTATTTAGGATTTTATTCAGTGTCAAGCCAGTTTTAAAATGGTTCTGTTTGCCTTTTGAAAGTGTCAGCACACATTATGCCACAATGGCAGGGAGCTACAGCACCTGGGGGCATTTTACACCCAGATTATGCATTTTTAGAGCTGTGAGTCCAACAGATGCATTTCAAACTGGCTCCACCATAAACTAGACTAAGATTTGAGTGTTTCACAGCACCTCATCTGCACTGGCCTCAGAAGCCAGAGGGAGACAGGACAGCCAGGCAGGAGCTGGGTCAGGGAGCCCTTCACGCTGGCAGACACGTGAAGGTGGGGACAATGTCCCTGCTCAGTGTCCCCTCTGACATCACCTGTGGCTCCGGGAGGCAGAACTGTGCACGATTAGGCAATCAGAGCTAGATCAGCAACACTTCAATCAAATGAGGAACACACCTGGGCTGCAAATCGCTGGCTTCCAGTTTACAACCCCTTATCTGTTCATTAGGTAGAGACGGTTCATGTGTCGTTGTGCAGCTTTCTTAGAGATTTGGGAAGTCATTGAGGCTTTTTTAGTCACTTTCCAGGTAGCCAGGCACTTCCTGCTGTGGATTTTTAGTTCTAACACTTCATGACTCTTTTGGTTGAGCACAGAAATATAGCTGGCTTATGCCTGGGTTTGGGATATTTCACAAGCAGATATTCAGTTGGCTTCAACGAGTACAAATCCAGCTTTTCTCCCTGACCCTTTCTAGCATGGCTAAACCTCTTTGATAGCAGGAATTAAGACTTGCACAAAGCAGGGTGAGGAAATGCCAGCTCAGGGCTGCACAAGGTGTTAGAAAGAGCTGCCCAGTCCCTTTTCAGAGCCCCTGGGCTCACCAGCAGAGTGCAGCCTGTCTGCCAGCCAACAACACTGACATGTGCTGAAGGGGACCAGTTCACCCCAGAACCATCCTGGCAGCACAGTGAGGGCTTGGTGCTGAGCTCTGGGCTCCTCCTGGGCCCTAGCATCACGCCCACCTGCAGGGAAGTGTGCGGAGGAACAAGGGGATTTGGGATCATTTGTTTAAGTCACTTAAGTAATTGTAGACTTGATTAAAATCCAATTAGGTGGAACTCCGAGAACCTGGCACTGTGTGAGGTGGGTTTGCATGGGTGTTCCAGGGAGGGCAGGAAGCAGCTGGGCAGAGGCAGCCCCTCACACAGGCCGCCCCTCATCCTGCTCTCATCCCCTCACACAGGCTGCCCACATCCCCTCACACAGGCCACCCCTCATCCTGATCTCATCCCTTCACACACGCTGCCCTCATCCCCTCACACAGGCTGCCCCTTATCCTGCTCTCATCCCCCCACACAGGCTCCCCTCATCCTGCTCTCATCCCCTCACACAGGCTGCCCCTTATCCTGCTCTCATCCCCTCACACAGGCTGCCCTCATCCTGCTCTCATCCCCTCACACAGGCTCCCCTCATCCTGCTCTCATCCCCTCACACAGGCTGCCCCTTATCCTGCTCTCATCCCCTCACACAGGCTGCCCTCATCCTGCTCTCATCCCCTCACACAGGCTGCCCTCATCCCCTCACACAGGCCGCCCCTCATCCTGCTCTCATCCCCTCACACACGCTGCCCTCATCCCCTCACACAGGCTGCCCCTTATCCTGCTCTCATCCCCCCACACAGGCTCCCCTCATCCTGCTCTCATCCCCTCACACAGGCTCCCCTCATCCTGCTCTCATCCCCCCACACAGGCCGCCCCTCATCCTGCTCTCATCCCCTCACACAGGCCGCCCCTCATCCTGCTCTCATCCCCTCACACAGGCCGCCCCTCATCCTGCTCTCATCCCCTCACACAGGCCACCCCTCATCCTGATCTCATCCCTTCACACACGCTGCCCTCATCCCCTCACACAGGCTGCCCCTTATCCTGCTCTCATCCCAGAGCTGCCTTTTATCCCCATAACAGCCTCTTCACCTCTGCAGCTTTGGAGCCAGCCTAAGCCACCTGACTGCAGTGCAAAGCTAAATCAGCTTCCTTTGCTATAGGGTTAGGGTAGAAGTTAGATCCCTGCTTCCAGAACTAAAGCTGGCAGAGCTCAGTGTCACCAGATCACCATGGAGGCACAGATCTGCACTGACTGTTTTGGCTGTTCCATATTCAATCCCGACAGCTCAGCCTCACCCCACTGCCTGCCCCACAGCCCAGCTCCCAGCAGGCCTCAAAGGTCTTCACTTCTCAGCAAGCCCAGACCCACAAAGGGTTTCCCATCTGAGGGTTTCCCTTCCAGAGCTCTGTCACAGACATCTTTTATGAAAAATCCTTTCCTTAGGATTTTTCCTCCTGAGAAGCTGAGAGGCCTCAGGAACAAAATGCAAACAATGGTTATCTGCTGCTGTGGAATGCAACAGGTGCATCTGGGATTGGGCTCATGGGGTTGTTTCTAATTAATGGCCAATCACAGTCAGCTGGCTTGGACTCTCTGTCCGAGCCACAAGCCTTTGTTATCATTCTTTCTTTTTCCATTCTTAGCTAGCCTTCTGATGAAATCCTTTCTTCTAGTATAGTTTTAATATAATATATATGATAAAATAATAAATCAAGCCCTCTGAAACATGGAGTCAGATCCTCGTCTCTTCCCTCATCCTCAGACCCCTGTGAACACGGTCACAGACTCTTTGGAGCAGTTTGCACAGCAAGGGAGTTCCAAGGAAACACGGAATCTGTGCTGGGCTGAGGAGCAGCCACAATGGCTCTGTCCCCTCTGCAGGAACACAGCAACTGCATTTCATTAGCAGGGTGTGTTCAGACAGCTCCATCCTCTGGAGAAGGCTCTGTTCTGACTGGAAAAACGCTGCGAGCCTACAGAGATGCAACAGCACAGACCTGCTGCTGCCTTCTAGGGAGGCTGGCTTGATAAACCAGGATTGTTCCTCCATTAGCTGGGTGAGCTGAGAAATAGCTGCTCCTCCAGGCAGTCACGTCCAGCACTGCACCAAAACCACCAGGAATGCTTCATGTTACCTATCTGCAGCCCAGTTTCTAGATGGCTCAGGAAGCCCTGTTGCTGTCTGCTGGCGCCTGGCACCAGCAGGAGATGGTTGGTGGCATCAGCCAGTGTTTCCTCACACAGGTTAGATTGGCAGCCCAAACTGCATCCTCTGATTGAGTGTGATTTGACTGACAGCACTTCCCACAGGCACCTGCAGGGCCTTACCTTCCTCCTTGCCATGAGGAGAGCTGCTGAGACAAGGAGAGGGACACTGAGGCCAAGGAGGATGTACTGCAGGTACTCCAGCACCGAGGGCAGCAGCACCAGGTTGGTGTAAAACTGCTTCAGCACTGAGCCTTCAATGGATCCACTCTGCCCAAAAAAGCAACCTGTCAGTGGCATCTCCCTCCATCCAGACTGAGACCAGCTGAATGATTCCCTTCCCACCACCTCCCAGCATAAATTAGGGAATTTATGCAAGATTCAGCCACGCTAAAAGCTTTTACTGAATAGCAGGAGTCAGCTGGAGGCTGCACTCCCAGGCCCACAGGAGGACAGGGATGCTGGCAGCTCTGTCCAGGGCCCCACTTAACCCCACATCTAGGGCAGAGCCAGAGATTTACCAAGTATAGAGCAGGGTTTGTTCAGCTCAGAGGGATTAATGGCATAGCCAAGTATTGAAAAGCCTTCTGTTGGTGCTTAATTAGTCTGGCTGGCTTAAAGCTTTATGCAAAGTGGAGTTTCCCTAGCACTGGGTGATGGGGAGAGAACCAGGCTGAGGAAGGCAGCTCACCTCTGCAAACCACAGCAGCGGCAGGACCACGGGCTTGATCTGCCCTGTTTGACTGAGAGGGAAGAAAATCAAAAAAGAAACACAAGCTTAGGTTTATGGTTGATCAGGTCACAATGAGCAGCACAATTCTTCCTGAGGGGACACGTCTGACACACTGGCAGTGGCCAGGGAACCATGGGGGGGTGGCAATCCCAAGGTGAGCTGCTCCCACCTTGGGGACCAGGTGCTCCCCATGCAGGAGCAGAGCTTGTGCTTCCATGGGGGTTTAACTGACCAAGGACAGCAGAAGTGCCATCCCAACGCTGGGAGATGAAACTGAGTGCAGCAGAATGCCAAAGTTTCTGTCTCAGTCACCTGGGGGGCACCATGGGGCTGCCTGGGGGTTTGCCCCTCAGCCCAAGCAGCAAGAGCACACTCCCACCCTTGCTGGTATTTAACATCTGGCACCACAGTTTGGTTACAGAGACCTCTTGTTTGCTTTCACAGAGCTGGAAGTGCCTTGTGGACACAGGTTTCACTCTCTGCCCCACAGGCAGAGTGGGTTTTGCCTCTCCTGAGAGGCAGCACAGTGGAGGAGAACAAGGTGAACCTCCTGCCCCACCAGGAGGAACAGTCCCTCCCTCAGCTGTCTGTGAGGGACAGGGACACTGCCCCAGCTGAGCAAACAGGCAGCCACTCTCTGCACTGCTAAGGGATGAACTTGTGGCCACTGCAATGGCTGATGTTTCAACAGGAGCCAGCTGGCTCCAGCAATGGGACAACTGCCCATGGCAAAGCTTTGCAGAGAGTAAACTCTGCAGCAAGCTCAGCACCAGCAGAGCTCCCTGCTCAGGGAGGGCAGATGGACATTTCTGGGAGGTGAGCACTTACATGATGCCAGACACGTGCTTTATGTACAGGTTCAGCTGCAGCTTGATGGAGCAGTTCATGGGGATGCCCGTCATCTGCAGGGGAAGAGAACAACCAGTTCATCAGTGACTTCCTGGGACCAACAGACCCTGTCCAGCATTCTAAGCCCATGAAAACCATCACACTTCAGAGCTGGTCATGTTGACACCCATTAAGACATTGGCTTCTCATGACTGTGCAGTTTTGCAACACATTTTTACAAGCAGAGAATTTTTGTTGGACTGTCCCTGTTTGTAGTCAGCAGCCTACAGCTAGATAAAAATGCAGTTAACTGTACTGTTATCAGGAGATGTTTGATACTGTAATAAACTTAATTAGATTTTCATAACTGCGATAAGAACAGCAGTCAGAACCCGAATGTCGAGATAACACACGCAGTTTACCTCACCTCAAGAGGGAAACAGGTTTTTTTTGCTTGAGCAAATATCACTGAACATTTAGAAAAACTGACCTCACACAACACAGGCTGTGGGTGGAAAATCTCAAAGTCCCTTTGCCATCAGCAGCTGGGACAGGGATACCTCAGGACAGCCCAAATCTCCCCTCTGGAGTGGTGACTTCACCCTCACACTGGGGCTACAGGAGGGGTGTAACACAGCAGCCCAGTGCAAGAGCAGTTCCAGATGGGCAGGCTGAGAGAAGGGAAGAAGCCAGCCCAGAAATGGAGGTGCCAGCTTGAGGCACAGCGTGCTCCTCAGGCTCTGCCAGCCAGCTCTCATGGCAATGTGCACTGGCAGATCTGGGGCAGAGCTGGGCTGCTGCCAGATACACCTCCTGGTGTTATAGGCCTGAGTCAGTGGAAAGAGTTTCACTGTGCTTATCGAAACAATTATGTTTATAATTAGTTCTGCAATTCTCCAGAAGCCAGGCTAATTATTCAATTAGTTTATGGCTTTGACATTTTTATCTGCACATGCCCTCGCCAGTCTTTGCACTCTGGAACCTGCTGGGATCAGCGCCACGAGAGCAGAGCGGTGCCAGCACTCGGCTGATGGCAGGGTCCCTCTGGGCTGGGCTGGTCCCTGGGCTCAGGGGGGACCCTGGGGGGCTCACTCACGGGGTGCACATCCAGGAAAAGCCCGTGCTGCTCCTTGCTGGGGTGCAGGCCTTCCACTGCATCCACCAGGGACGGGTCGGCGTTGTAGAAGTGAGGGTGGGAGATGAACATCGGCGCATCTGGGGGAGATTAAAGGCATCTTCAGCCGCTCCACACCCAACTAAAAGCTTTATTTGAGGTCTTTACGGCCTTGCAGTACTTGTTCTGAACAGGCTTTTATAATTTCTCCTCCCAGCCAGTAATCTCCTCCCCCTCCTTCCCTGCAGGTTGTTCCACTGATCTGGGAGGGCTCAGGACCACCCAGTCTGTCCCACCACCATGCCATGATAACTCCTGTGCCCAGACACAAGTTTGTGACAGGTCAGAGTGTCCCTCACACACTCAGTGTCCAAAGCTGACATTTAATTTGGGATCTGTGTGGGCTGCCTCCTCCTTGCTCCCCAAGCAGCCCAGGGGATGCAATGCTCCCACTGTACCCCGGGCATTCCCACAAATGCCAGGCTCTCACAGGGCTGGGCACTAAAGATCAGGCACAAAAGGTTTTCCCTCACTGCTGGAGTGCAGAGAGCCCACCAGTACTTCTCAGCACCCCAGCAGGCACTAGAGCTGTTTTTCCAGACAATGAAGCTTCTGCTGCATCTCAAATTTAATACAGGTCCACTGAGGAGAGCCAGGGTGGGGGAAAGGACTTACTGAGCCTGCAGGTGCTGACGTTCTGGATGCCAGACTGCATGCAGGGGCAGAAGCCCTCGTTGGGTGGGTAGTCTGTGCCGTTGGCAAAGAGGGTTTTGGGTGCCACGAAGCGAAAGGTGGGCACACCCTGGAACTGCCCCGACTCCTCGTACACCAGCGTCATGGACCTGCAATGGTTCAGGGGAGAGGGATCAGCATTGGCCAACAGGCTCCCAGCACAGCACTGGCTGCTTATCTTGCCTGGATAAGATGCAGTTGCAATGTAACTTAGACTTTGAGATGAAGATAAACCCTCAGCAGCGCTTCGGGGAATGAGGATTGAAACCTTTTGCTTTCCATGTTTTAAGCACATCTAAAAGGGTTGGTCAGGACTAGTCAGGCAGAGAAACCACAGGCTTATAAGAAGTCTGTTTGCTCTAGCCAGGTGAGATTTGTTTAAAGGCATGCAGTAATCCCCAGGGCTGCTCTCCAAGAGATAATACCCACTTTATGCAAGCCCTGGCTCTGAGGTGCTCCGTTACAGGGCAGGGACACTGGAGAAATCTCTTTTGCAAGCCAACTCCAGCAGCAGATTTCCAGGGCAGTGGAAAATTTCCCTACATGACACAGCAAGATTTTTTTTCTTCCTACTAGAAGCTGTTGATACTGTGCTGCAATATTGCTGGCCAGGCTTGGTGCAAGCCTCCAGGACAAAAATTGGCTCACTTCACACTTGAGTGAGGCGTGCAGGGATCAGAGAATCACAGAAAGGGTCACAGTGGGCTGCCAGGACAGCCTGGGCAGGCCAAGGGGATGCTCATCCTACAGAGGGATGGTCCCTCCTGATGCTGGGAGCAAGGATGGGGGTTCAGGGCATGTTCAGCAGTTACAGGTGGGCCTCTTGGCTCTGCTCACCTCCCAGTGAGGAGGCAGAGCTTTCTGCAGCCCAGCAGCAGGACAAAACCCTGCTGGCTGCCTCAGCATCAGCTGCACAGAGAGGCAGCAATGCTCTGAGCCCAACTGATGTGTGTGACTGTCCACAGAGGCTGAGGCAGAGGCCTGGGGAGGAGACACAGCTCTGTCTGAGAGGCTGAGCCACTTCCCCACAGTTCTGTGTGACAGGAAACTCCTGTGCCAGCAAGAAACCAAGCTGGGTTTCCTTCACTTCACTGGGAGCACGCTCTGTTCCAGAGGTCCCTGGAGTCTGACAGGAACAGGAATGTGTTTAAACTTCAGCTACAGGTAAACTTCCCTGTAAACTCCTGGCTCCAGGTCACTCTGGTGTTTGCTGATGTCCCTTGTGCAGAGGAATCGCTGTTGCTCAGCTCTCTGTTTATTCACTGCTCATTGTTCTCTGTTCACCATGAGCACTTGCTTGTTTTGCAGCTCTATCTACAAAGCTGGAATTAGCATTATCTTCCCCAGGCTAGGGACAGGGGTTTTGTGCCTGCTTCCCTCCTTCCAGCCTCAGGGACAGGCACACAGGCCAGCTCTGAGGGGTGCTTTAACCTCTGGGTGATCAGCTAAGGTCAGGGTGTCTTACACAAGCAAAACAGAAAAAAAAAAAGAAAAAAAAAAGAAAAAAAAAAAGAAAAAAAAAGAAAAAAAAAGAAGACAAAAAAAAGAAGACAAAAAAAAAAAAAGAAAAAAAAAAAGAAGAAAAAAAAAGAAGAAAAAAAAAAAGAAGACAGGGCCTGGAAATGGCGGCACGAATTTCCTCCCAGACATAATTTCTCCAAGGCTTTAGTCAGCTGAAAGAGTTCTGCAGTTCCAGTTGCATTTCCCTCTGACAACCCTTACTTCTCCTTCTAACTGCCCACATCTTATCTAGATCAGATAACCACATCTGGTTCTTTTCTGCTGGTTAAAGTGGGCAAGCTGGACATCTCCAGTGATCTGGAAGGTATTTATGGACACCACAAGAGGCTGACAATGAGACAACTACCCTGTTTGCAAAGCTCAGAGATAATGCAGACCCAAACTGAACTTTAGCTACCAAAAACAATTCCTGAGGCCTCTGTGTGTGCAGGATGGGAGCAGCCTGCCCTGCCACCTGCACGGGGACAGGCTGGCAGTGTGGCCTCACCTGCAGGCATCAGGGCTGTAGAACTGCAGGGAGGTTGGGGACATGAAGGGTGGCCACATCTCCCCTGCTGTCCCGTTGATCATGTTGCACTGGCTGCTCCTCCAGTAATCCACCTGTGGGACAGGGGGAGAGAGAAGAACTCAGAAGGATTCCCTGCACGGAATGTCCACCACCCCACACTGCTTCCACAGCAGCACCAAAGTTCTTTCCCATCTTAGGCATATTTTCCATCCTCCATGATTCTGTGAACCAAACAATTAATGGACAAGATCCCCCTGCCCCCAGAGCCTGAGTTCTACAGCTGATTTCATTTAGGAGCACAATTCCACAAGGGAAGAGTGAAGCATCCTTTAACACCTTCAACACAGCCCACAGGAGCCTGAGATTTCAACCAATAGAGGCAACCAGCCCCAACAGCACTGCAAGGGAGTGCAAGTGAAAAACCCATGAGGAGATGAATTTACTGCTTCCTGAATAGCCCCTTGCCACATGGCTGCCTCCTGGCAACTTGCTGAAATGGAAATTGCAGCACTTGAAGTCCTGTAGAAACTTTTCTTCACCCCAGAGCTTTCAGGTGTCCCTGCTTTAATCAGGCACTGCCCGTAATTCAAGGTTGGCTGCCAGACTCTCACCTTCTTGAGCCCATTCCATGAATCCACCATGTGAACCTGGCTGATGTTGTTCATGCCCGTGTTGACTGTGAACAGCCCCGAGTTGGAGTTGTTGAACTGCAGAGAGAAAGAAGGAAGGATTGTTTAATCTTGGCTGATGGTGTTCATGCCCGTGTCGACTGTGAACAGCCCCGAGTTGGAGTTGTTGAACTGCAGAGAGAAAGAAGGAAGGATTGTTTAATCTTGGCTGATGGTGTTCATGCCCGTGTCGACTGTGAACAGCCCCGAGTTGGAGTTGTTGAACTGCAGAGAGAAAGAAGGAATGATTGTTTTATCTCCACAACACGTGCCTGACTCCGGGTGCCCCATCAGCTTCTGCTCAGCTCAGTGTCTGAGCTACCCCAAGATCAATATTGCTGGGATTTTGGCATTCCCAACCGACACTTACATCCATGAATAATCCAAACTTCCCCTTGAAAGGGAGCAGGCCAGGAACAATCATATTTATTGCATCTATCAGGGGGTCTTCGTAGCCCCACATGATCTCGCCCACGGTGCGGTTCATGAACGCCTCCTGCTTCAGGCTGGCCAGGGCTCCACTCAGCAAAAGCTTCAACAGGTCTGGCAGTTTTTCCACCATCACAGCTGCTCCCTGAGAAGGGAAACAAATGTCTGGGATGAGAGGCCCATCTTTAGCAAAGATGAAGCATTTTTGGTGTTAACCCAAATCGTTCTGCTGCTCCCATCTATAGCCCCAGAGGAATGCTCTGGACAGACTGAGGTTCTTCATTTGTTCCCAGTTGGGGAAGAAAGCAGGTGAGGGCTCACAGGCTTGATTTCCCCACAGGATGCTCAGATGAGGCTGCAGACTCCAGACCAGCTGCTCTGCACACTCTGGTTTTGGAACAGAGCAGCCTAACAGAACAATTAACACCCACAAAGCAGAAAATTGCATTCTATAAGCTTAACCACCTCATTGCTTGATCAGCCCCAAGCCCTACAAGAAAGCGTTTCAGTAATTGAACGCTGGCTATCGCCACCCTCCCTGCAAGCTCAGAACGTGGAACCCATCCAGGCAAGAAGCACTTACCATCAGCATGATGTTTGGCACCACAATGTACTCGTCCTCCGTGCCATTGGACAGGTGTGGCTGGAAGAAAAGCTGTCGGTACTCCAGGTAGGAAACGGTGGCGTTGTCATGGAATGTGATATTTGTTTTAACCCTGTACTCCCTGCAAAGAGATGGCAGATCATGGCAACCACCCCCAGGCAGAGCCCCTCGAGCAGAATGGGCTGCACAGGCCTGGGCTGGTGCTGGGGGAGACCAAAGCCCAGTGAGGAGCCATGGGGCAGCTGGGGAGGTAGTGAGGGACAGATATAAACCAGATATAAACCCCTCATCCCAGCCAGGGTTAGGGTCTGCAATGTGGGAACAGATATAAACCAGATATAAACCCCTCATCCCAAGCAGGGTTAGAGTCTGTCAGGAGAGAGCAGCCCAAGAGCCAGGCATCCCCGACAGGTTGGATTCTTGCAGGCACAAAGTGTTCTTTCCCAACTCATTACCCAAGAAATTGAAGGCAAAACAGCAAATCCCCTCTGTTGCTTCACCCACAGTCCCTGTAAAGCCCAGGCACAGCAGAGAGGTGCCCAGGCACGCAGAGCCACAGCACCCACACACCAAACAAGCTGCACGCAGGAGAGGAGCAGCCAAGATGCCCCATGTGCCACCAGGGGTTTGCTCCCAAGCAGATGGGACGGCTCCTGGGCTCAGGGCAGCCTCCACACAGCATCACGGCCCTGCCGCTCCTCAGGGCTTCAGGCCATCCATGTCCTGCACACCGCCTGATGCCTTCTAGCTTGCACGATTTCCAGATTCTGTACTGTGTTAGTGTGTATTTCTGAACTCCATATGAAGTGTCAGCAGCTCTCCTCACAGCTCAGTCCCACAGAACAATCCTTTTCCTCTCCCCAGTCCCACAGCACAATCCTTTTCCAGCCCCAGAACCAAGGACAGCTGCAGCTTCAGCCCCCAAAATTGTAAAGCAACGGAGCATTGAGGGGAGCAACCTGGGAGGGTGGGACTGCACAACCTGGAGCTGGGATTGGACAGTGAACCTCAATATGGAAATGGACCAAAACTTATAGAAGCGTGAAAACTCATTACATGTCATCCAGCTTGGGTGTAGCCTTGGCTGGACTCTTGCACTGCCCAAGGTGCATCCTTTGAAGGCCTTTTAATAAATCTCTACTTTATTAATTTAACTCTGTCCAGCCTCTGTTCCAGGGAGCTTCTCAAGGCACCAGCCCAGTGCTCTGGACTTTAGAGCTCACAGCACAGGGGCAGCCCCAGCCTCATGGGGGCTGCAGGGCTCTGTCCCCAGCATCACAACCCCGTCACTGCTCCTGGAGGAGCTGAAGCTCAGCTCACCAGCAAAAACAAAGTCCTCCACTGTGGAGCCTCTGTTTTACAGCGCACATTAGGGAAGGGCACTAATCTTGCTCAGCAGGAACACAAGGACACTAATAAGCTTTGCCCCTTTGTTTATTCTTATTTACAGCAAGTGAAGCTTTTCCCCAAGCCAACAAAGAGATGCAGTGGAAACATACAGAACCCACAGAGGGGGACCTGGCAAGGCCAGGGCAAACAAGGGCACATACATACTGCAGGTGTCCCCTCACACTGCTCAAACGGCTTTGGATTAACCAGTAAGCTTCCCACATGAGCTTGCTTAGGCTGCTGTTCAACCTCACCCCACTACTGCAGGTACTAATATACTGGAAATCACTGCTCATGGCAAAGTTCACACACTCAACTCAACATCAATCACTGCGAGGTGCTGAGAACCACCTGGGGCTTCAGGCAGCATCCTCAAACAGGCCCAGCCCTGCTGTGTGTGGGCCTGACCCAGTGCTGGTGCTCCATGCTGGCTCCCGTGAGCAGAGCACTCATTTTGGGCATGTTCAGGTATCACGTTAGATAAGGACTTAGGCCAGCCCATAAATTTGATATTGAGGCGACTCCAGCTCAAGAGCTGGGCTCTTCAATGCACAGTGAAGATAAAAGAAGAGCACTCTGAAGACAGGGTCACCCAGCACCACACCAACACCCCTCATACCCATGTTTGGGACGTATCAGCCCAGGTCTGCCTGCCCAACAGGCCCCAGAAAAAGGCTCAGCTCCACAACTCAGTGGAGCGCCCACCAACCTCCCTGTCTCAGTGGCCAGAGCTCCTGCCTGTGTCTGCAGCAAGATCAGAGAAACTAGAGCACATCTGGGTCCCTCCAAAGTCCAGAGCACATCTGGGTCCCTCCAAAGTCCAGAGCACATCTGGGTCCCTCCAAAGTCCATTGCCCCTGGGGTCCCAGCGAGCCTGCTGATGCCATGTCCTCCTGCCAGAGGAGCCAGGCAGCAGCCTGGCAGGCAGCACAGGTCAGGCCCGTGCCAGGCTGGGGCACAGGGGCACCTGACCTGTACACATAGGTCAGACAGACAGACAGACAGAAGTCAGGCCCGTGCCAGGCTGGGGCACGGGGGGCACCTGACCTGTACACGTAGGGCCCACGCTGGCTCAGCACTGGCTTCTCTCCCCGCAGGACCTGCTTGGGGTTCAGCACCTCGAAGAAATGCACTGACAAGTAGAAAGGGACAGGGATGTCTTTCCACATCTGGAAGGAGATGCTGCTGGGGTCGATCCTGACGTTCTGTAAGGCAAAAAAGAAATAAAGGGACACAACATTTGGGCTCTGTGGCTGCAGGTGAACACATCCACCCTCGGCTCAGTGTGAGGCACAGCTGAAGGTGGCAGGCACAGATGCTCTCCAGAGGATCCAGGTGTTTTTGGCAGACAAACCCAGCTAGATATACACAGTGAGAAATCCTGTGGGTGCAGAAGCATCAGGTTTATGCTTAGAAGCCAGGATGTCTGCTGGCTTATTTATTCAGGCTTAACTTTCCTAATCCTGCCCACAGGGCTTCCGAGTGTTTGATGTGCTGGAGACTGGGCTCTGAATTATTCACCGCTCTGCACGTTTTACTTGTCTGTCCCAAAGGCCTTTGCTCGTGGCTTTGGCAGCTCCACACAGCTAAGAGCAAGCAGGGAGAAGTGGCACAGCTATCCTCACAGCTGCCTGGGTACCAGCAGGGAGAGCCCACCAGATTGCCAGAAAGAAGATGGAGAAGTGGGATGGCAAAGCAGCACAGCCCACGACACCCGTGGCTGCTCTCAGCTGCCAGCCTGCATTGACTCACAGCTGATGATGAGGCAGGTCAAAGGCAAGGCACAATCCTGCTCCCATATCACTGTCCTGAGTGCTGGGAAACGCCTGCAGGAGCTCAGAGACACCCAGAGCTGCTACAAGGGCACATGTCCTGCACTCCCTCCCTGCCTCCAGGGTGCTGCAGGAGGGCAGGAGCCTGTTCCTTCTTGAACACCCACTTTGGATGGGTTCCACCCTAATCTTTTCTCCTGGGAGCAGAGATCCATGTCCCTGCTTAGGTAACCCAGGCAGATTATGGAAGTGGGGCTGATCCATGAGCAGGAGGAGGGATGTGGGCTTGGTGCTGGTGCAGCTCAGCAGCACCTCCATCTCACCGGGCACAAATTTGCTGACACAGGGGGTTGAGGTGCCAGAGGTTTCCCCACACCACCTCTTCCCTCTTGAGGAATTTTATGGGAAAGCTGAGCTACCTGTGAGCAGCAGGCCCCTGCAAGCCCCTCATCCACCCCAATCCCTGGGAACACATCTCCACAACGCTGTGGAACCCATCTGACCTGGCAAACCCTCCCCACCACCACATGCTGCTCTCATTTTGCCAGCCTCAAGGATTTCATGGTAGAAAGGAGCAGTAATAGGGCAGATTTTTATTTAGTCTGCTTTACGACCCCGATTCCTAAGCATAAAATGGATTTATGACCAAGAACACCGCGTTCCTTTAGTTGCTTGTTCTGTCTCACACTCCCTTGACCACTTGTTGCAGATGTATTTACTTTTATAAGAAGCACCCAGTCAGATGGAGCTACATCCCAGCTCCCTGCTGCCTTTCTCGGCTCCCTCCCCACCTGGGCTCACTGCACACCAGCTCAAGGTACTCTTGAGGTGCTCCTAAGATCCCCAAAATGGGGTAAAAGAGCTTAAAATTAAGCTATTTTTAGGTCAAAACAGTCATATGTCTGAGATAAAAACAGAGTATTTGTCAACCAAATGGCTTGCAAAGGGTCACTGAGTTGTTTGACCCCTCCTGACCAGGCTGATCTTTGTTCCTGGGGAACTGAAAGGAACTGGTTACTGCCCATCAGCTCCAGCTGGGGCCAGGACCATGCTGCTCCTGCTCCCAGGACAGCACCTGAGCTCCCAAGGGGAGCAGAGCTGATGCAGCCTCACTCACTGTGTGCAGGTCTGCGCCATTCCAGAAAAGCAAAATTCCCCAGGTTTTGCAGGGCCAGCTCCACAGAGAGCCCAGTGCAGATGGGGCAGGCTCCAAGCTCCCTGCTTTCCCTGCAGGCTTCACCCACAGATATCCTGGTAACAACCACCTGTCCATAGGTAAGTGCTTTTCCATCAGGATTCACCATCCTGACAGAGCTCAGGAGGCCAGGATGGGCAAACCAGCCTTTACCTGCCCAACCCCAGCCCTTCTAGCTCCTCTTACCCTCACTGAAGACCAACCCAGGAGTTTCAGCAAGGACCTGAATGTTTCTCATCACCTGTCATCACTCAGTTATTAGGCTTGATGTGAAATGGAAAATAATGAGCGGAGGGTAATTTTGTGTCATGTTGAAGATGGGGAGACCAAGGGCTTGAGGTGAAGGGAGGAGAAACAAGGGTTGATCTTTTCTTCATCTTCTGTTCTCATTACAAATTATTAGAACTTAGCTAATTAGGTTGAAAAAAACAGGATTAGCTAAAAAGAGGGCAGAGAGGCTTTTGCACAAAAAATGTCACTTCTGTCCTGCAGGGGCCATTCAACCTTTTACTTGCAGGTACCAGTTCCTGATGTGCTGAAGCTGAACAAAGGCTTTGTGCTGTTTAATGCACAGGGCTGTGGGCTCTGCCCTTGCGAGGGGTGAGTTTAAGTAGGTCATTTTCGGCACAGCCTTTGCGCCACACGCGGCGCCAGCCATTGGCTACGAGCTGTTTGTTCACCTCTTTCATCAGAAGCAAATTTTCAGGGGCTGACCTGGGTAGGTGGAAGCTTGGAGAAAGGCCAAGGCACGGAGCACATCTGCCTTGGACAGGGAGAAAAAGGTTTGGCTAAATGTGGGGATGAGCTCTACATTACAGCAGGTGGGACAGGAGCGCTGCTTCATAAAACTGTGCAGAGCTACTGAGCAGAGCAACACCATCCACAGCCCCACGTTCTGGGGACAAACCCTCTTCAGCCTCAGGACCTCTCCTGTGGATAAAACAGGTGTTCAGAGAAGCAACTCTTCAGGATTTCAGTCTGAAGGAGAGAGGATAACTGGGAGCCTGCTCCATGCACAGGGATCCTCTGGAGAGCTCTTGTTTCCAGCCGGGAAAGCATCTCACGTGTAGCCCGGCAGCGTGCTCATCTACTTATGAAAGGAATGACTGGTGCTGCAGGTAGAGGCAGGAGGGCAGGAGGAAGCGTCGGTGCTCAGGGTGATGCTCTGCCAAGCATCCCCAGCTAATCCCAGCGACGCAAAGAGCCCTCGTTAGTTACCCAGGGCTGCTTCACCTGCTCACTGCGGGCATATTTGCTGTCACCAAGGGTGGAACACCCCGAACCACATTTGCCCAGAGGAAGAGCCTGAGGCTGCTCGGAGCTGCAGCAGCGACGCTGCCTCTTCCAGCGCTCGGCTCTCCGGAGCACAAGGGAAAGGCTCAGCAGCCCCAGCCCGCAGCGCACCGGCCCCGGCCACCGACAGCACCGCAGCGAGCCCGGCACCGAGCCCCGCGCCGCACCGAGCCCCGCGCCGCACCCCCCTGGGCCCCTGCACCGACCCCGCTCCGCACCGCAGCCCGCACCGAGCCGAGCCCCGCAGCGCACACGGCCTCCAGCGCACCCTCCAGCCCCACTTCCAGCGACCCCGCACCGCCCGCTCCGCACCCCGCACCGAGCGGAGCCCCCGCCGCGCCCCCCGCGCCCCGCTGACCTTGATGACCTGCTGCCGGACGATGAGCGGCCCCACGAGCAGCAGGCAGGCCCCCACGAGCGCGCAGGCCAGCCCGGCCAGCCCCAGCCCCACGGACAGCCTGCGGTGGGCCACGGCCATGGCGGGGCGGAGCCGGTACCGGGAGCGGAGCGGGGCCGGGAGCGCAGCGGGCCCCGCCGCTTTATGGATGGCCCCGCGGCCCGGCCCGGCCCGGCCCGGCCGAGGGGGCGGGGCCTCGCCGGACGGGGCGGGGCTGGCGATGAAGGCCACGCCCATGGCCACGCCCCCCCCGCGGGAGGCGCGACGGGAAAGGGAAGGCGAGCGTCAATGTAAACACGTGTGTGAGCACGGAAAAACGGGCACAAGGGTAAAATACTGAGAGGAAATGTATAAATAAATATATTGACAGATAAAATATCCCTCAGTCATGCCATTGTAGAATAGAATGGTTTGCGTTGGAGGGGACTTTAAAGATCATCTCGTTCCACCTGCTGCCGTGGGCAGGGACACCTTCCACTGTCCCAGGCTGCTCCAACCCCTTCCAACCTGGGCTTGGGCACTGCCAGGGATCCAGGGGCAGCCACAGCTTCTCTGGGAAATATGTCCCTGTGCCTCACCATCACCACAGTAAAGATTTTTATCCCAATATCTGATCTAAACCTATTTTTTCCACTTTATAAGCCATTCCTTCTTGTTCTGTCATTACACGCTAGACAAAAATACATAAACGTGCTTGTGTTCGTGTGTATATGTATATATATTTCAGTTTGAAGTCATTCCTTCTTGTTCTGTCACTCGACAAAAAAAAAGACATAAACCGTGTTTCTATAAATTTGTATATGTATATATATGTATGTCTTGCCTGAGGAGTAAGCATCCATCACCCATTAACGTGCCTCTGTTTTTTCGTGTAACCCAACTCTGCTTTTCCAAAAAAACTGAGTCTTTTTTCCATCTCCTGCATCTGAACATGGCCCTGAATAAAAGCCTCGCTGAGACTCATCTCCAGGTGCATACAGAAGGCAGCAGAAAATAAAGAGTTCAGTTTGTGACAGCCTGTTTTAAATCAATCCCCGTCCAACATCCCATTGTCCCAGCTGAGCTAACACATCTGGCAGCTGGAGTGGTTCCACCTGCCACGCTCTGTCCTGCACAGAGAGGGGACAATCTCACGGCTGCCACCAGGCAGGGCGCAGCACAGCACAGGACCTGCCTCCTGCCACGGCCCCCACCTCGGTGCAACATTTCCATTTGTATCTTTACACTGAATTGGGTCTTTTTTTTTTCCCTTCCAAACCTTTTACCCTGATAGTTGCCTGTTTAATTACCAGATCAATTAACCAATGTCTCTGTTCAATCCTGGCTGGTCTCTGGTGTGGGATGGGCCCCCTCTCCCAGCAGCAATGCCTTCAAAACAGCACTAAGTAGGCACTGGATTTACTTTTACTTTTTTAAGACATTTTTTTACAAAGAAACACAGTGAAAGGGATTTCTTTTTAATACCCAAATTTCCCAATAAAATCCAGGAGATTCCCTGAGGCGCCGCAGAGAAACACGACTGTGAGAAGATCTCAGAACGGCGTGTTCTGCCATGGTTTGAACAAAACACCCTTAAAGCTGACAACAGGCTTTGCTGCTCTCATCAGATTTTGCTGCTGCATGGCTGATCCCACCCCAGCTGTGGTCTCTGCTCACGGGTGCTGCCTCTGGAGCGCTGGCACTGCCACACTGAGCCCTGAGGTTCCTCAAGCCCTGCAGAGGTCACAGAACTAGAATCTGCTGGGCTGGAAGGGACCCACGAGGATGGAGTCAAAAACCTGCACAGACCAGCTCCAAAATCCCACCATGGGCCTGAGAGTGTTGTCCAAACTCATCTTGGAGTGTGGCAGGCTGGTGCTGTGGCCAGCCCCAGGATGTTCAGCCCTCCCTTTGTGGGAGAACTTTTCCCTAACACCCATTCCAACCCTCCTGGCACAACTTCCCACCATTCCTGAGTGGTCAGCAGAGGCTGACCCTGCTCACGAGGCCACAGCACAGGCTTCTCCTCCAGGCTTGCTGCTCTGCCTGCTGCAGCCTGCTCCAGGCCATTACAGCACTGGGTTTTTAAATAGGACATTGTAAAGGTTTGTTACTGAGACATTGAAATAAAAGGATTTCTTAAAGCACGGCTATGTAGTCATTTGTGGAGGCTTTGACATTATCAAACACCCCGTGTCCTCCTGCAGCTCTCCCCAGTGGCAGTCAGGCGCCTTCAAATCAGAACCACGTGCAGTTGTGCTCCCTGCATTCCAGACAGGCTCCCCTGCACTCGTGTTTCAGATGCTCAGTTTGGGGATTCTGCTGTCCCAGAGCACAGACAGCCCCCACAATGGCCAGCTGCTCCCTGCGGTTGTTGGGGCTCAGCCCAGGAGCCAGGGCAGCGTGGGCAGAGCCCGGGGCACTGCTGCGGGGGAGAACAGGATGTCCAGGATGGCACAGCACCAGCTCCCACCCACACGGGATTCAGCTCTTCAGCATTCAAATGTTTCCTCCAGCACAGCACAGACCTCGGTGCTCTGAACTTGCTCTGTACAGGCCTGACCAGCGAAAGGAACTGGTGTGACTGCAGCCACACCCTGCCACCCCACCCAGGCAGTGCAAGGTCCCTTTGGGATCCCTTTGGGTCCCCTGAACCAGCCACCAGCCGAGACCCTTCAGCTCCCACCACATCGCCTTCCACAGGTGAGCCCGTGTCACCCCTCCTGGAAAGAGCATTTCTGTGTCACTCTCCCTTTCCCTCTCCACACACCCAGCACAGCCATGGTTAACTCATCAGCCATGCTGCAACCCCCACAAATACTTCAGAGGCAACTTCCCTTTTGCCAGGGCTTCTGCAGCACACAGGAACTGCTCTGTGCCAGCTCAGCTCAGCAGCATTTCCATTTGGGGCACAGCTGGAATGAAGCACATTCACATTTCCAGTAAGTACATCTGAAACTACTGCTTGCTTAATGCCATTAAGCTTGACAAAAAAACAAGTCCACCCTGTACCTGATGAGATCAGCACTCCCCACCCCACCTTCCCAGCCCAAGGGCTGCAGGACCATCCTGCCACCGAGCTGCGGGATCACCCTTGGATGTTCCTCCACTAATCCCAAAACAAGGGCAGTTGCTGGGCAACCAAGAGCTATCTCAAAGCCCTGACCGGGGAGCATCCACAGCTCCCCAGTGCACATCCCTGCTTACACAACACCACAGCTGCACAACATCTGCAGGCGGGCACTGAGCTGCAGCCAGGTATCAGAGCACTTACACAACCCCAGGAAAAGCATGGCCGAGGGATTAGCTACAATCACCAGGAATGTGGAAGCCTTGCTTGCATAAGGCAGTTTTGCAACCCCTTTGTCTGTGGAAAGCTACGTAATTATTGTTTATTAGAAACCTGGGGTTGGGCAATGTCACGAACGACTGCTCGTGTAACATGGGACACAGACTTTTACAGATGCAACAGCTTTATTGGAATGAACAAGTGCAGGGAACCTTTAATTGGAACAACTGCTGGTTCAGTTACCACCCCGCAGGCGCAGGACAAGGTGCAGAGTTGACTCCTTCTGGATGTTGTAGTCGGACAGGGTACGGCCATCTTCCAGCTGCTTGCCAGCAAAGATCAGCCTCTGCTGGTCAGGAGGGATGCCTTCCTTGTCCTGGATCTTGGCCTTGACATTTTCAATGGTGTCACTGGGCTCAACTTCCAGAGTGATGGTCTTGCCAGTCAGGGTCTTGACAAAGATCTGCATGCCACCCCTGAGGCGCAGCACCAAGTGCAGAGTGGATTCTTTCTGGATGTTGTAGTCGGACAGGGTACGGCCATCCTCGAGCTGCTTGCCAGCAAAGATCAGCCTCTGCTGGTCTGGGGGAATGCCCTCCTTGTCCTGGATCTTGGCTTTGACATTCTCAATGGTGTCACTGGGCTCGACCTCAAGGGTGATGGTCTTGCCAGTCAGGGTCTTCACAAAGATCTGCATGCCACCCCTGAGGCGCAGCACAAGATGCAGGGTGGATTCCTTCTGGATGTTGTAGTCAGACAGGGTACGGCCATCTTCCAGCTGCTTCCCTGCGAAGATCAGCCTCTGCTGGTCAGGAGGGATGCCTTCCTTGTCCTGGATCTTGGCCTTGACATTCTCAATGGTGTCACTGGGCTCAACTTCCAGAGTGATGGTCTTGCCAGTCAGGGTCTTCACAAAGATCTGCATGCCACCCCTGAGGCGCAGCACCAGGTGCAGGGTGGATTCTTTCTGGATGTTGTAGTCGGACAGGGTACGGCCATCTTCCAGCTGCTTGCCAGCAAAGATCAGCCTCTGCTGGTCTGGGGGAATGCCCTCCTTGTCCTGGATCTTGGCCTTGACATTTTCAATGGTGTCACTGGGCTCGACCTCAAGGGTGATGGTCTTGCCAGTCAGGGTCTTGACGAAGATCTGCATTTTTCCCTGGAGAAGGGAAAACCCGCCGTGGTTTAGGAACCGCTTCCCGCATCCGGGGCAGCGCCCCGTCGTGACGTCACAGCACAAGTCCCGCCCACAACCATAGAGGGGCGGGGTCTCCACCGCTTCCTCTTCCCGCCCGAGGCGCGCGCCCGCCACCATCTTGCAGCAGCACTGCTCCTGCGCGGCCGCCATTTTGCCAGCGGCCGCTGGGCCCAGCCCTTGCCCGCCACCGCCTCGCGGTGCGGCCGTTGAAGGGAAGGCAACGTCCCAGCCCTGCCCCCGCCATCACTGTCTGCCATCGCCCCCAGCCGCGGCTCCTCAGCGCACACTCCCCTCCGTTCCACCCGGACGTCCAGCCCGTATCTAGGCCCTCCCCAGCCTGTTCTCACCGCGGCGCGCCGCTCGGCCAAGCCGAAACCACAAACCTCACCCAGCGCCAACTGCGCCACGCATCCCTCCGCTAGGTGCTTATATGGCCCCCGGCGCCCCGCCCCCGCCTTGGGATCACTCCGCTGCGCACTATTTTCCTCGCGCCGCGCGCCTCCGCTCTCCGACGTTGGGTGAGGGGGAAGCGCAGCTGGGCGGCGCGGAAGGATCGACGCCTCGCGCGGCTGTGCTGAGACTTCCGCGCGCGGGACGGCGAGCGGCGGGAAAACCCGGCCTGGAGCCAGTGGAGCGGGGCCGCGGCTGCGCCATCTCAGTGACCCCAATTAGGAGACATTGCCGCACGTTAAACTAGAAAAGATAAAAGTTTCATTATGTTCAGGGACTTAAACACTGCAATTGCGCCCCTGGTTGATAAACACCTCCTTGGCTTCTGCCCCTAGGGCAAAGTGAGGGCCAGCTCTGCCTGCGGCCACACCGTGAGGGGGTTCCTGAGGGAAGGAATTCGTGGCTTTATCTCGAGGGATGCCTCGAGTGTTATTTCTGTGTGAGAGAACCCAAACTGCACAGCAACTCCACGCAGCAGCTGGGAACAGAATGGAGCTTTGTCTGCAAGATCCAGGCAGTGTCGTTCGCTTTGATTCTCCCACAAAATCATTCATTTGGCAGCTCCCAAGGAAAGTGGAAGGGACACTGGTAACGCCCAGGGCTGCTCACCAGCATGAAAAGAGCAGGGGTCCGGCAAAAGCTTTGTGATGTGAAGAAAAGTGCCTGTGTCTGCCTGCACATTGATGGGAATGCTCTGGAGAGCTCTTTGGCCTCTGCTAACACCACAGCTGTAGTGATAACAATCTCAAAAAAACCCCACAGAAGTCTTTTGGTTACTTCTCAGTGCTCAGTGGCTGATGCTATGCATTGGGAGTGTACAAATATCAGAAATTGGAGAATCCTTGCAGGTTTAGGTCTTTCCTCAGCAGAAAATGAATAATAACATTAAGCTTAATAATGTTACGCTTGTTCTTTTAGTTACAAGGTTAGTGCTTAGGACTGTTCAGAAAGTCATCAAAAAGGCACATGGGAAAGTGTTTTGTGAGAAAAAGTCTGTTACTGCATGCCAGTTACTGCAAAATGTCTCTTACATTCACATGCAGGGCACATTCCAGAAGTGTAGCTGCCAGGGAGTAATTTACAACAGGGATCTTCACACTTAGCAGCTCTGTGACCAAAAACTGGCTCAAAATAACAAATGGAAGTAAGACGAGTAAATAAACAGCACAAGGAGCTTTCCAGCCACCATGGCAGGAAATGTCACTTTGCATTTGTCAGCGGGCAGCCCCTGCTGCTGCTGGTAACCAGGCAGTGAGAGGGAGCAGCTGCCCCTGAGCTGTGTCCATCAAAGCTGTCTCAAGAAGGTTCTGCGAGGGCTTTGGTCTCTCTGGACCAAACCTCTCAGCTGTGCCGTGGTTCCCAGCCTTCCCAGCCCCGCAGTTTCCCCGCAAGCCCAAGGAGCTCGAAGCAGGGTGGTTGTTTCCCTGAGAGCTCAGGGCTGACAGGGCAGCAGGGTGAGTGGGCACTGCAGAGCCAGGAGAAGCTCCTGAGTGTTCAGCAGTGCAGCCAGCTGAGGTGTCCTGGCTTCTGTCCTTCCCCTCTGTTTCTGGGAACGTGGAGCAGAGCCCTGTGCTCCGTGTGGCTGCAGGGCTGCATGTCTGCCAGGCTGTGTGGTGTGACAGTGTCAGCCTGGCATGGGTGGCCTCTGTTCCCCTGCATTGCAGGGTTTGATGATTTGTGCTTCTTTTTGGGCCTCTTGTGTCTCATAATCCACAGATGGGATCAAAAGCCGTGTGTGTTTGCACAGGCCTGAGGAGAACCAAATGGAAAAAAAAAACAAAAACAAAAAAAACGCACTTTATGCTGCTGGGAAGTGCCACTGTGGGCCCATTTCGACCGCACGGTCCGTTTGCTGCTGCTAAGCGAGACTCGGTGACTTTGACTAGATAAAACATCACGAAAAAACGGGAAAAAGAGCAGTAACCACGTGGAGACGCCGGGGATTGAACCCGGGACCTCATACATGCAAAGCATGCGCTCTACCGCTGAGCTACGTCCCCCTGCCCGGCCGATGTGCCCTGCCCGGCGGCCACGTCCGTGCTGAGCCCGCCCCGGTGCGGGAAGCGGCGGCTACCGAGCCTGGGCGGCGCTGCGGTGTACAGAGCCTGGTGCGATCAGCAGGCAGCCCTCAAAAAGACAGGAACGTGCTAGTCCGCACACAGAAAACCGAATGGTTTTGCTCCGTCGGAAATCAGAGAAATCCGTGAGGAAAAAATTAAATTAAAGAACTAAAAGGGCCAACAACCTCCCCGTCGGGGAATCGAACCCCGGTCTCCCGCGTGACAGGCGGGGATACTCACCACTATACTAACGAGGACGGCTGTACACGTTGTTCCCCGCAGGCCAGGGCATGTCTGAGCGGCGGCCGCAGGACCTGCTGGATCGCCCCCGCCCTTCGGCAAGCCGCTCCTGACACAAAACTCCCGCACGCGGGAGCGCCTGCGATGGCACCGCCTGAGCCGCCCGACGCAGGGACAGTATCCCTCGCTCCCTCCGCTCGGCAGCAAAAGGAACCGTTTTGATGGTAAGGAGAAAGAAAAAAAAAAAAAGAAGAAAAACAAAAAAAAAGAAAAACAAAAAAACGACCCCCCCCAAAAAAACCACGCGTAAAAACTAAATGTTTCTGCCGAAACCCGGGATCGAACCAGGGACCTTTAGATCTTCAGTCTAACGCTCTCCCAACTGAGCTATTTCGGCGGGCGAGAGCGCCCTCGCTGGCCGTGGCTACGACCCCGCCCTGCGCCCCCCCACGGGCGCTGCTGCCCGCCCTCCCGCACGGGTCCCGCCGCCCGGTACCGGGGCTGTGCGGAGTTTCGCACCTTCCCGAGGGCATTTTCACCCCGAGCATCCCATTTCCGCAGCGGCGGGGTGTTTCTCGCGCACCCCGGGGCACTCCGCTCCCGTCTCCTGGCGCAAAACACGGCTCTGCCGGCTTTGTCCGGCCTCTCCGGAGCGGGTTCCACAGCAGCGTCGCAGACAAACACCGTCGTGGGACGACTCACAAAAAATGGCATCCGGGGCCAAAATTAACTGTACCTCCCCGTCGGGGAATCGAACCCCGGTCTCCCGCGTGACAGGCGGGGATACTCACCACTATACTAACGAGGACGGGTACACTTGCGTTTCTTTTGCCTTGCTTTATAAAGGCACTGTCCCAACTCCGGCGGAGCTGTCGCGGTCCCGCTCCCCTCCCTCGGCCGTGGCGCAGCGCGGGGCTCGGGGAACGCGGGGTGACAGCGCTGGCACCGCGGTGTCAGCGCCGGGCCGTGCCTGCGGCCCCCGCTGTCGGTGTATACACTGCGAGCGGCCTACGTTCCATCGAGGGGATGTAGCTCAGTGGTAGAGCGCATGCTTTGCATGTATGAGGCCCCGGGTTCAATCCCCGGCATCTCCACTTTTTGCCCCTGTCCTACCGGCTGGTGCTTTTTGCGTTTTTCTGCTTTAATTTTGAGAGGAGCCGAAATTTCCCAATACACTCGCTAAGTGCCTGTTTATTTTCTTCCCTCCCCGCACCAGTGGGTGCAGACTTGTGCTGCAATTCCTGCTAAAGAAAGGAGCCCCCAGCACGCTCCTGCCTGGGGACATCCCAAACCCAGTGATGCTGGAAAAAACCCAAAACCCCAATGTTTAACTGAAAACACACCGAGGGACTGCCTTCCTTCTGGCTGCAGATCTAAAGTTGCTGTTTCTTCAGCTTTGGATGTTTTTAATGCTTGCTTGTGCTCTGGCATTGCCCCTGAAGCATGTGGGAATTATGGACACACCGTGTGGGAATTATGGACACCCATCCAGGCAGCTGGGCTGCACCAGTTTCCTGCAGAACACAGGAACAGGAGGGTCCCTGTCCAGCCTTTCTCCTGCAGCAGCGTCACAAACCCCAGCCCATCAGCACAGTGTGAGCACTGGGCTTACCAAGACCCAAAACTCAAGCTTCTGCCCCTCACTAATTAAACCATTCCCATGCCAACCCAAGACTTTCCTCATTTTTGTGTTCCTGCCCTGAGCTGCTGCCCAGGTTCTGTCTGACACCCACAGCTCTGATATTCTGCTCACTGCAGCATCCCAAACATTTCTCTCATCCAGACCAAGAATTTTACATATTTATTACAGTTCATATGACTAATATAGTCCAAAGAGAAACTTCAGGTTAAAAAAAAAAGAAAAATCTCCATAAAATACAATGGATAAAATTATCCAAACATTAATACTATGAAAAACCAGCCAAACAGCTGGCAGGGCTTCTGGGAAAGCAGAATAACAAAAGGTATTCCTACAGCTGGTGAGTCCATCAGTTTCAGATTTCCAAGGAAAGCCCTGGAAAGCTCTCCAAACTCCCTGGAGCCAAGGAGTCCATCAGCATCGAGGGTCACAGGGCCACTGGTGGCCACTTCAGGGCGAGCTCCTGGTGCAGGGCCTCGGGCACCCACTGGCAATAGGCTGCGAGCAGATCTGCAGGGGAGAGGAGCAGACACTGAGATGGGCTGGAAAAACCCCCTGAGGGATCACCAGGTCCACGGGAGACAGGGCCAGCGCCCACTGCAGGGATGCTGCTGGAGCTTGGATGCTGCCAGGCACAGCTGGCAGCACCCACAGGAATCTCTGTGCCATCCCTGAAGCACCTTGCTGCTGCTTCTGTGAATAATTCTCATCATCTGGCATCCCAATATTGAAGAAAATCCATTTTACCAGGAAAAAAACCCTTCAATATATCCACGGCCGGTACCACCAGAGTCTGTACATTTTAACTACAGTTAGTTACAACTACAGAAAAAAAAAAAAATCTTAGAATACAAATAAATGTTGCTTTCTGAAGTGCTTTGTGTCATTTTTCACAAGAATCAAGCACAGGGCACTCCTGCTTCTGGTAAGAAAATAGAAATATTTTAAGCTTAACAAATGAAATAGTCCATTTTTTCAAATTATAATTCAGTAGTGCTCGAGGTACCCCACTGACATGACTGATAATTAGGCAAGCAGGACACTCACATTTGGGATTTTTCTTCCA